GCCAAGCCAGGGCCCGCCGCCCTCGGCCCGAGAGGGCGTGGGGGCCGAAGGGGCAGGGAAAAGCCCAAGCCGTCCCCTGGCCAGCCAAGGAAGACGTGGCTGAACGGCCTCGCTGGGCAGGCCGCCCGCCCGCCAACCCCGCTCGCTCGCTCAGGCCAGGCGGCGGCACGGGGGAAAGGACCGAGCGGGAGACGCGCGGCCGCCGCCGCCGCCGCCACACAGCAGGCCAAGGGCGGCGCTCGGCTCCGGCGGCCCGCGCTCCCACCCCCGCCCGCTCCGCCACCCGCGAACACCCGCACCCGACCGCCTCTCCCTACAGTTGGCGGCGCAGGCCCGCAGCCAACACGACCAGCGACAGGGCCTTCCATCCGTCCGGCAGGAGCGGGAGCCTGGCGGGCGCTCGGGGGGACCGCCCGCCCGCCCGCCAACCCCGCTCGCTCGCTCAGGCCAGGCGGCGGCACGGGGGAAAGGACCGAGCGGGAGACGCGCGGCCGCCGCCGCCGCCGCCACACAGCAGGCCAAGGGCGGCGCTCGGCTCCGGCGGCCCGCGCTCCCACCCCCGCCCGCTCCGCCACCCGCGAACACCCGCACCCGACCGCCTCTCCCTACAGTTGGCGGCGCAGGCCCGCAGCCAACACGACCAGCGACAGGGCCTTCCATCCGTCCGGCAGGAGCGGGCGCCTGGCGGGCGCTCGGGGGGACCGCCCGCCCGCCCGCCAACCCCGCTCGCTCGCTCAGGCCAGGCGGCGGCACGGGGGAAAGGACCGAGCGGGAGACGCGCGGCCGCCGCCGCCGCCGCCACACAGCAGGCCAAGGGCGGCGCTCGGCTCCGGCGGCCCGCGCTCCCAGCCCCGCCCGGCAGCCCGCTCCGCCACCCGCGAACCCCGCACCCAACCGCCTCTCCCTATAGTTGGCGGCGCAGGCCCGCAGCCAACACGACCAGAGACAGGGCCTTCCATCCGTCCGGCAGGAACGGGAGCCTGGCGGGCGCTAGGGGGGA